AGTACATACATTACATATAAGCATATACATACATACATACATATCATACATACATACTATCATTAACTATCATATACCATATACATATAACTATCATTCTATACATTCATATTACATATTAACATACATACATACATATACAATATCATACATATCAATACATACATACATAACTATTATACTTACAAACATAGCATACATAATATTACATTACATACATAATTACAATACATACATTACATATCATACATACATATTCATACATAATACTATAATACAATCATCACATTATACATAATAACATACATACATATATATACATACATACATATATATATACCATACTACATATATATACATACATACATACATATACTATACATACATACTATATAACATACATACATACATATACCATACATACATATCATATACATCACCTACATAAATACATATACATGACATACAGTACATATCATATACATACATAATACATATACATATCATACATACATATAGTACATACATATATCATACTACCATCACATATACATACCATATACATACATACATCATTACTATCATGACATTCATACATATACATACAATACATACATACATACATATACTACATACATCAATCTACATACATACTACATACATACATATAACATAATACATACATACATAATACTATACGATAATATATATATATATAATATATATATAACCCACTCCACCCCGCAATAGCCACTTCCTCCCTCTTCCCACCTATGCTCTAAGGATGTATCTGATGTCCCTAGTTTCACACACCCAATTTCCTCAGTTTAAAGTCACACTGCCTGAACTGTGTAATTCAAGTCAGTGCTGGTTTAAACAAGGAAATGGGTATGGTTATTGCAGAGAATCTGGATATATAACTTCTACGTACTGCTAATATAACATAACTACATGTTATCTATTTAATATACCGTCTTTCTTATGTTCTACCCCCATATAACTTTCATAACAGGGTGACTATTCATGTTAATCCCATAGCTTTCATGAATTGATGTCCATTATACTCGCATCTAGATAATATTATACTACTATCTTCGGCATTATAATATCACGAGAAATCTGTTGATCTATGAAACCCAGTAATAAAACAATCCAGATGGCACAAAAACAACATCTGTCTGGAACCCCAACTGTCTGCAAATTGAAGTAATGACCAAATGAACAGACATTTCTTTTTATTTTATGTTTTAATCCTTAGTTTGGATTTTCCTTCAGTTGTTGTACTATACAGTGTCCAGGAATTAAACAATGAAACTTCAAAAATAAACTCTTTTTAACATATTTAGACATTTTTGTCTAATAACTCCTTTGAGATTTTGAATGCCCGGAGCTCTGCAAGTACTAGAAAAATAATTTTGAAAAACTACTTTCTACGTAGAAATTTGCAAATCTGAAACATATACATCACTCCCAGAAATATGTAAACTGTTTATTATTTACAAAAGAAATTAATATATTTGTTTACAAAGAAAAATTAACATAGAAATAAAAAAAGCAATTGAATGAAGTAATTGAAGGCCCAATTTACTTTAAAATACTTTTAACAATTAAAAAAATATATAAAATACAAATACCATATGCAATGTGAATTATAATATATTACAATATAGTATATATTCATAAATTTCGACAAAAGCTTAAGTTCAAACATAAATAAACAAATTCCATGGAAATCATCTTATCAAAGAACAACAATGAATTCAATATCTAATAATAAAGGATAAATAGAAATTATAATTCAGAATTATTATTACTTAATTTTGAGGCATCACATGTAACAGACCTCAGAGCTGAAGCGAAGCAATCTGTCTAGGGGGAAAACCTTACCAAATCCTGCAAGTTTGGAGCAGTGGGTGGCAGCCCCACTAGCCAAACTTTCCCTGTGCAGCTTTCGTAGCGCAGCCAGGGAGATTCTTATTCTGGCTCACTCGTTGATTGTAACAAAGGAAATCCTTTGGTAACGACATTGGCAAAAGTTCAAGGACAAACGTCTCAGTATATCAGAACATGTCAATATAGAACTTGGATGTATGAGGCATAGCTAACAAAGAATACGATTGCTAAGAGAAGTCAGAAGTGCTAAACTGGATTTGTTATCTGAACTAAAAAGAAGCAGAGGGAACTTGTGGATCTGGAAACATACATTAATTTAATAGTGGTGTACCTATTGAAATAGTAGCAGTTGCAGGAACAGCTTATTCTAATAAATGAGAAAATGGAGAAATAGGATAACTTCTTTACAATTGGGTAAATGAAAGAATCGTAACATGCACGATTCAAAATAGCTTACGATACTTTAGACCATAACGATTATCCATAATTTACTGTGGGTGACATAGAGGATTCAGATCAAATAATCTGACTATTGAATTGGCAAATGAAAAAGATGGGAACTATTGCAAGGACGTGAGAGTGATAGAGGAATGGATAAAATTCAGATCATTTCCTAGTAACAGAGGAAAGTAATCTTAAAACGAATGGGCAAGAACAAGCAAAGTCACCATCAAAGAAACGTCTGGAAAGCTTAACCTATTAGAAGACCTAGCATCAGAACAATTTATTTCAATATCAACGTATAAGAGCTAATATTCCTTAAAGGAAACCCATCAGCACGATATTGAATTAGAATGGCATAATCTAACATAGAAAGAGATGTACATTGTCACCGAGTATAACTGCGTTACAACATTAATGAAACATACCTAAAACAGAGAAGATACAAGTCCACAGCAAAAATTTAGATCTTCTAGTAGAGAAGAATGGATGAAGTTCTGTAAACATCTGTGGACAAAAGAAGAGAAGAAGATGTAATGATGAAGAGGAGGGAAAAGAACAGATGTATATCAGAAATGTGATAAAATAGAATTTAAATGACTTTCAAGAAGTTACAAGTTTGTAAAACGAAAAGCCTCCTGGCTAGACAATTTAATATAGAACTATTCAAGATTCTACCCAAGGAAGCCAAGGTTATTGGTTCTAGATTTCTAAATCAGATGTTGGCAACAAAAAGAATACGCATGGATGGAAGAGAGCAGTAGTAATAACCCATTTTTAAACAGAGGATCAATGAACTGACTGCGAAATTATAGAGTTAAGTCTTTTTGAATCGGCATTAAAATATTATGGAAGATAATAGTAAATCGATTGAGAAACATTGGTGACAGTATAATTTTAACCTTTTTTTTGAACAACAGGTTCGCGCGGAAGGGAAGATCGCTGCTCGATAATATCTTTATCTTAAACAAATATATGAAAAAAGAAGAGAGCTACAACCTAATACCTCATAGTCTTTATTGATTACAGTAAAGGCATTCGATAGGTGACACAAGAGGAAAACTATGGAAAATTATGGTAAAAAAGAAGAATACCATTGCACTTGATCGTAGGTTATACGAAATATATACCTAGGAACACAGATAAACATAAAACTAAAATCTGGAATTATTGCCCAAGGAAAATATTAATAAGGGGTCAGACAGGGTGTTGTATTTTCACCTAATATTTTTAATCTATATCTAGACATTCTGTGAGAGAATGGACAACAGATCAGAAACTAATATAGAAGACAATTTTAAAGGAAAACATTTTTAAAACTTTTATGTTTGCTGAACAACAGATTTTTTAGTTGCAGATAATCGCCAACGGGCACTCCCTATGAACTATATAAAATAACAAAGCAATCTAATTAAGTATTATCTACAAATACAACCAAATCCATGGCATTCCAAGGCTCACGAAGGCTTTAAGCAGATGTAAATTCATATTAGAAAACAAAACTATTGAACAGATAATTCCTTTAGATTCTAAGGATGTGGACATATCTCGGAGTTGATATTGTAAAGGAAGATAGATAAGATCAATATGATTGTGTGGTAACCTATGCAAAAGAGCGCTCCAAAGGAAAGGGTCCATAAAAACACAATGCTAAAGTTTTATAAAGTTATGGCAGTGCTTGCAGACTTTACGGAAGCGAACACTGGAACTATGAAGAACACACAGTAGACTTCAAGCAAGCCCGAGATGAGATTTTTAAGATCA